TGCCACCAAGTAAACTTTACCTTTTAATTCCATTTTTTCATGAACTTTTTTGAAGAGTTTGCCTGTATTCCAGTAAAAACTTTTCAAAATAGTTGCATTTTCTGAGAACTTAGAAAATGTTTAATGAATAATATTCCTCTTATCTAGTCTTTAATTTTGTGTTTGATGAGGAATCAAAGACTTAACCAAAACATTAAAAAACCCAAGGTTGACAGGCCTAAAATCATGAAAAAATAATTTTTTAAACTCTACCGATGAATATGTAGTGATATGTTAGTGTGACTTTCATTTGTGTTTCCTTGTTAACTGATAAGAATGAGCACCTATTTATTTGTTTATTGGCTGTTTGAGTGTTTTCTTTTGTGAAGTACCTATTTAAGACTCTGCCCATATTTTTAATTGGTTTGTTCATCAGTTCTTATTGATTTAATATAAGTTGTATATTAATCATATATCAGAGTTTGTGCCAAATAGCTTTCTGGTTCTGTGGTTTACCTTTTCACTTTGAATTATTTTATAAAATCTGCATTCTTTTATAAAGCTATAAGACAGCAAGTTAAGCCCAAAATCAGTAAACGAAAAGATATTATATAAATGAGATTTAAAAAAACTCAATGAAATAGTAAATGTGCAAAAGTAGAAGTGTTCAGGAAACTCAAATGTTGATTGTTTGAAAAGATTAATAGTATTAATCACTACTGATCATCACTGGTCATCACTGATCAAGCAAGAGAGGAAATCCAGGTTACTGATACCAAGCATGACAGAAGGGGCCTCACCACAGCTGTAATCATTAAAACTCAAATAAGGAGAACTGTGAGCAACTTTATGCCAATAAATTCTGAAGAGGAAATGGAGAAAGTTCTTGAAATTTCTCAAAGCTAAAACACACAAAAACTCATCCAAATAGCCATATACCTAATAAATGGAATCAGTAGTTTAAAATTTTTGAACTAATGTCCAATCTTGACTTCATTAGTAAACTCTTACAAAGCATTAAAGGAAGATGAAAACATATCACTTATGTTAAATTCTAGAAAATGTAGTAGAAAGAGACAAATTTGTAAGGCTACTATAAAATAATTGTGATATCACATACCTGCTAAGGACAATATAATAAAAAATTCCAATTCAGTATCCTTCATGAATATAGGTGCAAAAGTCCTTAAAACAGCAGATTGGGCTTGGTGTTGTGGTACAGTGATGCCAGCATCCCATATGTGCTCCAGTTTTATGTTCTAGCTGCTCTACTTCCAATCCAGCTTCCTGCTAATATGCCTGGGAAGGCAGTGAATGATGGCCAAAATACACAGACCCCCTGACACCCATGTTTGAGACCCAGATGGGATTTGAGGCTCCTGGCTTTGGTCTGGCCCAAACCAACCATTGTGGCCATTTGGGGAATGAACCACAGATGGAAAGTTGATATCTCTGTCTCTCTCTCACCCTCCCTCCTTAACTCTGTAACTCTGCCTTTGAAATAAATAGTTTTTTCTTAAAAATTAAAATATTAACAGATTGATTCTAGTAGTGCATAAAAAGGATAATACATCATGATTGAGTTTTCAAAATCGTTGAATACAATTAACCACATGAACAGAGTAAATTAGAAAAATAGGATCATTTCAATATATACTGAAAACTCGTTCTGACAGAATTCTATACCCATTCATGATTTTTTAAACTCTTAGGTATTGGGAGTAGAAGAAATTTCCTCAACCTGTTAAAAGCAGCCTATGAAAAAACCTGTAGTTAACTTGATATACAACACTGAAATGTTGAATGCTGTCCACATTTCATTGGGAACGAAACAAATAGGCTTAGTGTCTCTGCTTTTATTCAGCATTGTGCTGGTAGTCCTAGGTAGTGTAGTAAGGCAAGAAAAGGAAATAGAAGACATAATGATTGGAAAGAAAGATGTTAAAACATCTTAACAGAAAGAGTGGACTATTTCCCTGCTTATATTAAAAAAAAAAATCTTAACAGATGATATAGTTTGTGAATGTAGAAAATCCTGAAGGTTCTACAAAAACCATTGGCATTACTAATGAATTTAGCAGTATTGCAGGACATAGTATACTTCTATATGTTAGCAATAACCTTTTGGCAAATAAAGTAAAAAATTTTTTAAAAAAGGACAATACCACCTACAAGAGCATCCAGAAACAAAATACTCAATGATAAATTTAATGAAAGAGGAGGAAGACTTGTGCACTAAACCTGGAGAGAGTTGCTGGTAAACATTAAAATGGAAAAGTACACAGTGTCATCACTTAAAAAATCAGTTAAATTAAGATGTTAATTCCCAGAATGACTTAAGAATTTAGTGCAATTCTGATCAAAATCCCAGCAAGCAATTTTCAGAGTAATTATCAAACACATTTTAAAGCTTATGCCAAAATGGAAGACATTGTCCAAATAATCTTCTAAAAGAACTAAGAGGATTTACAGTACTTGACCTAAAGACTTAATAGACAAATAGGTGACTGTAACAGATGAAGGGCCAGATATAGACCACACATAAGATGTCATATAATTTTTGACAAGATGCCAAAGCAATTCAATGAGAAGAGGAAAGGTTTTTTTTCAATAAAAGGTGCTGGAAGATTAATTGGGAAAGGATAGGCAAAATCTCTGGTTTTGCAGAAATATTCTGTATCTTGATGTATTTGTGGATTACTTGAATATATTTGTTTGTCAAAACTGATCAAACTGTTTAACATCTGTATTTATATTATTCCTCAGTTTTTTCACTATATATACGTTATACCTCCAATTTATAAAAATGTAATGGATAGTGTATAGGGGAAAGAGTGTTGCCAACTAGACAAGGTTTCTAGTCTTAACTCTGCCTGTAAGTTTATGTATGCTTTGGGCAAGTTAATTTAATAAATTAGTCATTCGTAGGAATTAAACAGCATTTTAAATGTCTAATCAGTGACATATACTATGCTAGCAGCTCATGATGTAAGAATAAATAAGAAAAATCCTGACAGAGAACATAGAAAAGTAAACAAAATAAAGACTCGTAAGTGCTGTCTAATGAGTTATAAAAAGAGTGAATCGCTCCAGGGTGGAGGAAGGCTTCATAGAGGAGGTGACAGTTGGATTTTTAATGTGTTTGGAGTTTGTAGTACATGCAAATAGTTTCTACCCATTGTTAAAGTTAGTATTTAAGCCTCAAGACTTTTCCCGTAATTGTTTTATCCCAGGAATTGACAAAGGAAATCTTGTTGACTATATTTGTATGTGGTCTGATTGAGAGAATCTAATCATTTTCTTCTTACCTTTTAATTCTTTTCTTGGGAGTCTCTGTTTTCCTCGCTCTTCAATAATTTTGTGCATTGCTTTATATGTCTTTCCTGAAATAGCTGCCTATCTCAGGGTTTTCACCTGCTAGATATCTCCATTTGTTCAGTGATTATTCAACAATTACCTGTTATATGCAAGATAGGGAAAATGCACTGGATATAATCTCTGTCCTCAAGGAATTATTCACTTGATATACAAAAATAAGTGTAATAAAGAAAGCGGTAGGAGTCACAAAACTGCTGCAGACAAGTCATGATGGGGATCCCAAGCGTGGAGAGGTTACTTCCACTTGAAAAGAATGATGGGAAGCACGGCTGTGTTTTGAGAATGAGGAAAGGAGCATTTCAGATGAAAGATACAATTCCCCATGTGACTGCAGTGTTTTGCCTGCAGTCTGAAGCATGCCAAAGATGGAAGTCTAGAGAGACATAAGAGTCAAAGAAACTTTTTCAGGGTAAGAAAGGCCTGAACTTGCTTGTTTGTTGAAAGAAAAGATCTAGTGAACGTTTTATATGTATAGGATGTTTTATTAGAGAAATCTGCTTTGGGTGTATAGAAAAAATACTGGAAGATATATGCTGTTAAAGAAAAACTGGAAAGGGCATAGTTAAGACATACCCCAAGTACAACCTTAAGGTGATAAAACTTCTGTTACTCTGATTTCCTCAAAATGCTAGCTCTAGTCATAAATGAAATGCAAAACATAAGCTTTACATCCTTGCCAGCATGATTGTGATGAAATTAAACCAATCATTTATAGATTAATCAGCTTAAACAAATTTGCTTGCCATAAAAAGAATGTTACTGTATATAGCAGCCAACTACTAACAAAATCAAATACTTTCTCTATTATGCTTTCTAAGCTGTGCTGGGACTGCTTTAAAGCAAACTTCTTACTGTTTCCAGTTTGTGAGCTATTCTGTAGGTACAATAAACTAATATAATTTTTTTAGATCTAATTTTATTTTTGACAATGTAAATTTGTTGCCAGAGATAATCTCTGGTTGTTTGAGTTTTCTTCTAGGATTTCTTATGCATTAAGTTTTAAAACTTTATTTAAGAGACAGTAAACTCTCATCCCTGATTTCACTCCCTCATCTGAAGCTGGGAGACTGGAATTCAATCCAGGATTCCCATGTAGGTGGCAGGGATTCAGCTACTTGAGCCATCACCTGCTGCCTTCTAGGATCTGTATTAATAGGAAGTTGACATCAGATTCAGAGCTGGAACTTGAACCCAGGCACTCTGATGTGGGATGCAGGCATCCCAACCTGGTATGTTAACTGCTTAGGCCAGGCAACTGCTTCTAAACTATGTTCAACTTCTGCATTAAATATTTTGTACACATTTCATAATGTAATTTTTAAATTTTATAGACAATATCTACTTCATATGCACACTCTTGTGACAGCTCATTTGCTAAGAACTCATCTGCTGAGAGCCTGTTTATTCTTACTCAGAAAAGGAACCCTTCATTGGATACATCGTGCTGCTTCTCTTTTGTTAAAAAAACAAAAGCAGAGAACAATATAAATATGTAGTTTTAATTCTAGAAAAACATTTGAAGCAAATTCGGTGTCCCTTTGCATTTTAGAACCTACTTTCTACATTTGATTAACTACCTCAAAACTTCCTTCTTTTTTGGCTATAAGAAGTTTTTCTCATTCATCTCTCTTTCACATAAATAGGTTCTGCAGAAGGCAACACATGCTGTTGAGAGTGAAGTGGACAAATGTGTAGAAGATATAATGAAGGAAAAGAATATTAACCCTGAGAAGGATGTCAGGTGTGCTTTTTACATTGTTGTTTTTGATCACGCAATTATAGCCTGTGCTGTGGAGCTCATACCCAGTGGCAGAACTTTAGAGCTGAAGGTTTTGTGGAGAGAGCTAATTCAGCCCCCTCACTTCACTTAGATGAACCCTCATGGGCCAGAGAGGTGAGCAAGGGAAGCACGACTAAGATCTCCACATTTTGGTTCCCACTCTAGGAATGATGCCCCTGTACCAAATGCCTTCTTCAAGGTTAACTTACATTGCTTTCCCGAGATTCAGTAACTTTGGCTATTGTGTCCTCCTTATCCTTCAGAATGACTTCTTGCATCCTCTCTGGCTTCTTCAGTCTCAGTTAGTTGCCTTGTTCTGTCTTCATGGAGTTCTCAATCATCCCATTTAACCCATTCTGCTCTAGCCATCAAAAGACTCTTGTGCTTTCTCTACTACATTCCAAATTTTGTAAGAGAAGTACTTACTGCAATTTTGTGTTCCCAGGACCAAGGTGTTCACATTATTAAGTATTTAGCATTATTTTCCTCATTCAAAATTTTCTATGTAAAAACAGAAGAAGGAGCAATTTATTTCAATTGACACAGGGAAGGGTATAAAAGGAAACTGAAGATTTGGGTTGGACTTTGATGAGTAGGTAGGGGAGGAGTGCTAGCAAGTCACAGAGACATAGAGATATTTATATGTCTGGAAATAATGGGGAGTCCTTTGGAGTCTGAGCAATGAATATGTGCAGAGCAGAGACTGGAGAATTGAGTGAGTCTCTAGATTGTTATATCACCAAGTCTTGTGTGCCATACTGAGGGATTTAGATGTTGCCTTCTGTTTTTTTTTTTTTTTTTTTAAATTTTTGTTAATTTGAGAGGCAGAGAGGCAAGAGACAGAGAGAGAGATGAATAAAGAGAGTGCTCCTATCTACTTGTTCACTCCACAAATACCAGCAATGGCTGGGGCTGGGCGAGGGCTGAAGTTGGAAGCCAGGAATTCAGTCTGGATCTCTCATGTGGGTGGTAGGACCCAAACATTTGAGCCATCACTGCTGCTTCTGGGGTATATATTAGCAGGAAGCTGGAATCAGGAGCAGAGGTGGACTCAAATCCAGGCATTCCAGTATGAGATGTGGTCGTGTCCCAATTGACATCTTAACCACTGCCCTCTGTTGTTTAAGCAAAACAAGCTACATTATCGGCTTTGTGTTTAGTAACATGGAAGGAAGATTTGGGGATATTTGAGGATGATAGTGGGAATAAAGACAGAACAAGCAGGGGGCTCTCAGTCATTCAAGTGAGAAATGACAAAGCAGCAGAGTAGTGATGTGAAAATGGCTTTGAATGACATTTCAGAAAGGATAAGGGTTCAGGGACCTTTTGATATATTGTTGTTGCAGAAAGGCAGGACAGACCTTGGAGAGTTCAAGCTTGGGAACCAATAGTGAAGTCAAGAGTAGACTTAGATAATTAATTAACAAAGAACATGTTTCTTCAGGAAAGATAAGCTGTTGAACTTATGAGATAACCTGTCATGTAGCTATTGGTTATATTATGAGGGCATTTCCGAAAGTTTGTAGGGAAATTGAATTAAAAGATAAGTTTATTTAAAAATTTTTTGAAATCCATGTATATCTTTTTCAGAACATGTATTTCCAGGAACTTTTTGAATATTTCTCATTCATGGACTTCAAAATTGTTTGTGTTAAACTTATCTTTACATGGACTTTTGGAAGTACCCTCACATAATTTGAGGAAATTGGATCTGTTGGTGACAGCTGGCACTAATGATTTGGGAATGTTCAGAATTGCCTAGAGAAAACATGAAAAGAACAAACCCTTACACTAGCAAAAGTTCCTGTCCTACCATGTGTGACCCCTTTCTAGGTCCTCTTTTTTTCCATCTCCTGTGTAACATGTGGTGTAACATTTTGTGTTTATGGAGGCTGTTGGTGCTCCTTGTATTAAACTGAAAACCAGGAAATGACTTCTAAATAGACATATGAACCATAAGCTGTAGAAGGCCTTACTTCATTGTGGTAACAATGTGTGGTTTTTAAAATAATTGTATATCATTTCAGTTTTAAAATATGCATGAAGACGTGCTTACTTCAGATCACTGGTTATAAACAACTCTATTTGGATGTAGAAAGTGTGAGGAAAAGGCCATATGATTCAGATAATGCGCAGCATGAAAAGCTACTTCTCAAGGTAAATTTTGTTTTCTTTATTTGGAGTTGTTGAGCACTAGAAAAGACTTGAACTGAATGGGATCCGTGTGTAACTTCCAGGTGCTTGCGTAACTACCCAGCTTCTTTGCCTCTTAGAGAATGTTGTTATGTTGGATTTCATTGATGTGCAAAGGTGATAATCAACAGTTTTATATTTTTCTGGTGTCATTAAAGTATATTCCAATAAATTGCAATATTTTAAAATCTGAAATAAGTTATAAATGTATAAAGGGAGTTTTTATTGAACCAGAATGTATGGGCACATAAGCTTCAGATTTTTGCCCTGGTTTTTGTATGAATTACTCATATAAATTAGACATTTTTGGGGATGCTTTAAAATTATAAATATGGAGGTACCTTTTCAGAGTATTATGTTGAATCTTTTGTGACTTACAGAATGTCATTTGTCAAATAATGCCACAGATTTAAGCATTATGAAAAAGAAGTGTAAATTTTTAATTTCTTATTTCTGAAATATAAATACATAAAGGACAATGAGGTGCTGGAATTCAGGAGGATTAGACCCAGAGTAAGCTTCGCTTATCACCTAGGGTAGGTCTTTGTTTTAGAGAATTGATGAATAGATGAGATTTGATAGAATAGATGAGAATTGTAAGGCCCAGGAGAGATGAAGTGATTCGCTGTAGGTCCAGGCATGGTAGCCTGGAAGAGAGCCGAGTCGCTGCCCATCCTCTGCACCTATTCTAGTTTTATTTTAAAATGGTTAAAGCACCTGGAGTTAAGTTTGTTAAAACTAAAGGTACTGTGGAAAGGAACACTGGTAGTATCTGAGTAACAGTAAGTGACTCGGGTTTAAAACAGCATAACTTTTTCTAAGTACAAAATAGATATTTCATTATCTGTAAAATTAAAATAAAACTTGAATTTGTAAAATGAAATGAATAAAACAGCAGTTTTGTGTATTGAATTTTTATATATGAAACGTTTAAAATATTACTTGTTAAAACATTTTTAAAAAGATATTGTGGCAGTCACCAAGGATTCACTGCTGTTTCTTTCCTCATCTTTGTCATTTTTCCCTTCAGACTTTTTCAGCACAAGTCCTTCCCTTTTGAAGGGGTAAGATATAAGTGCTAGCACTCTAGTCAAGGGGATTTCTACCTTCGTGAGAGCCAGTGGCTGGCAGTGAGTTACCCAGCCACTGCCGTCCTCAGCCCTCTCCCTGGGTAAGGAGGCTGTTGCTGTCAGTGCATCCAAGGAGCACCTTCGCTCAGGTCAGCCAGTGGTTAGTACTTAGAGTCCAGGGTTCCACCTTACCCTCATGCAATCAGAATCTCCAAGGGTGCAGTGCAGAAATTTGATTAAAAAATCAAAGTTTGAGGACAGCGGCTTTATGATATAGCTCTTACTACATCGCTGAGGCCTTATCATTGGCAATCAAACTCTGCTGAGTTCATTGGGAAATGCTAATATGAGCAAATCACTGTGTTGGTAATAAAAGTTGGGCCCATATTTAGCTTCAGAGCCAGAGCCATGACCCTGTTTTACAGCAGGGTCACAAGTTTTCACATTTTATTTTTGATAACAAGATACTCCTTTGTTTAGGAGTCTTTCACTCAACAGTGCCTCAGTTGGTAGTGAAATGGGAAAAAATGCAAGTATTTCTATTTTGCAAACTTTCACAAGTTTTTTTAACTTCTATAAGTTTTTTTGTTTGATGGCTTGTGGTTGTTTAAAAAATGACTGTTTTCTTTCTTTTGCATTGATTAGTTTGTTGGTGTCTAATATTTTATATTCTTAAATCCTTACTCTTAAAGATTATTTAAAACCAAGTTATTTTTTCTTTTAAAATAAAACTTGTGAAATACTGATCATATAGTTTGGAATATTAGCAGCATCATTTCATCGTCATCCCTTTTTTTTCTTCATGTTTTCTTTCTGATTAGGAGTTAATCACCTACCATATGATAGAGCCAATTTATATAGAACATCTGAATCAAGGCCCTAGTATGTAAAATGGTTTTTTTCTCAAGCAGGCAGCTACTGGGTATGGTATCTGTGTATGAACTAGTAAATAAAGGCGTCTAATTGTTTTAGATTTCTGTGTATTATTTGTAACCTTTAAAAAAATCTATTCTTTATATCAATCTTTTAAATTGGGATACATGTGCTTTCTTTTTTAGGGTAGTAGAAAAGATTTCTTTTTTTTTAATCTTTTTTTTTTAAAGATTTATTTATTTACTTGAAAGTCAGAGTTACACAGAAAGAGGAGAGCCAGAGAGAAAGAGGTTTTCCATCCGCTGATTCACTCTCCAAATGGCCGCAACAGCCGGTGTTGCACCAATCCAAAGCCAGGAGGCAGGAGCTTCTTCTGGGTCTCCCACGTGGGTTTAGGGGCCTAAGGACTTGGACCATCTTCTGCTGCTTTCCCAGGCCATAACAGAGAGCTGAATCAGAAGAGGAGCAACCAGGACTAGAACCGGTGCCCATATGGGTGCAGGCAGCAGCTTTACCCGCTACACCACAGCGCCAGCCCCAAAAGATTTCTAAATGTAATCTCTGTTGAACCTATGATTTGTCTACAAAAGTTGTTTAACCGAAGGCATTCAGTTAGTAGCTGTATGAGTAATAGACAGGAAAATGTCTTGGTTAATAAGAACATGACTATTACTTGTAATATGGAAGCATGTTTTTACAGCTTTGGAATCTGCTGATGCCCACGAAAAAGTTGAAGGCTAGAATCTCCAAACAATGGGCTGACATTGGTTTCCAGGGTGATGATCCCAAAACAGACTTCAGAGGCATGGGCATCCTCGGATTAATCAATCTTGTGTAAGTGCAAATATTTTTTTTCCCTTTTCTTCTCTAAGTAAAATTACATGGATCTTTAATCTAGTTAAATTCTATAATAATTGATCTAGCCATTTTATACTCTCTCTGAAGTTTAATAGCTATAGTTCTAGAAATGTTTGCTAATCTACTGGCAACAATATAAAGACACTGGAAATTGTGTGTGTGTGTGTGTGTGTGTGTGTGTATGTGTGTCTGTGTGATTTCTTTACTTACCTTTTCTCTTCCTGATCTCTCTTCTGATACTTCCCAAATAATTATATATACTCTTTTCTTTCTATTTGTATCCCCTTGCTTTACCTCTGTGGACTCTGATTCCATTTTGTGAAGTGTAACAGATAGGACGATCAAGTCTCTGCATACCCATTCTTAACCACATGTGTCATTTGATCCAAATCCCTGACTTTACAGTGTCTATCTGGACTCTCCTTTTTCTTCAATACTTTAATAGTCTTCTTTAATATTTTAATACTTGTATGAAATCCCAAAACACAAAAAACAATTAATAGCCAAAACTATTCTAGAAAACAAACTGGGAGATTAATTTCCTCCTGTAAAGATCTACAAATGTATGTTCTAGTAGTTGGATCTGTGTGTGAATTGTCACTTACAGAGGATAAAATGTCTCAAGTGGGAAATGTAACTCTTATTAAAGTTTTGGTGATTCTTACTATGAAAAATCCTGAAATTGAACTCCAGTTAGGTAACATTGAGGAAAACATATGTAGATAACAGTGGCAAAGGTTATTTTTGGGGAAATAGAAGACATGATAAGATTTCAATATCTGTAATTTTTTTCTAATTATAATAGTATTTAATTTTCTGTTATATCTGAATTTTATATATATGAACTTAACATATAATTTTATATTTAGAGATAAATACTCAATGGCCTTCAAAATATTAGCAAACAAATGATTTCTCAGCGTTTTCCAGAAGAGAAATTAATTTAAAGTTTATATAATTTAATACAATTTAATCCTAGACTGTGGTAAGGGATTCTGATAGACTTTTTTTTTTAATGTATTTATTTAGAAGGTAGAATTACAGACAGAAAGAGGGAAAGACAGATAGATCTTCCATCCACTGGTTCACTTCCCAGATGGCTGCAACATCTGGAGCTGAGCCAATTTGAAGCCAGGAGCCAGTGCTTCTTCTGGTTCTCCCATTTGGACGTAGGGGCCCAAGCACTTGGGCCATCTTCTACTGCTTTCTCAGGCCATAGCAGAGAGCTGATTCAGAAGAGGAGTAGCCGGGACTTGAACTAGCGCCCATGTGGGATTCTGGGGCTGCAGGCAGAGGTTTAGCCCACTGCACCACAGTGCCAACCCCTGATAGACCTTTAAATGACATAGTATTTTCTCTCTGTTTAGAACCAGAATCCATATGTTTTTGAAAAATGATATAACTCACATGTTAATAATTACTTGAACTAGAAATAGCAAAAAACAAAATTAGCTCTGATTCCTCTATAATGATGTTTGTTGTCCTATATGTGGAGCTGTGACACTTCAGGATTAAAATGTACAAAGAACAGGCAAGCTGTTAAAATATACTGTCTAATGTATGTTTCCTAGTCTTCATCATACAATCTTGATACCTTCCTGCGTTGAAAAGTAGCTATAGATAAATGAATGATGAAGCAGATGTAGAAGAAGGGAGGGTTGTTGTACAGAAAATGAATTCAAAGGAGACTGAAGAAATCTGAATAGATGAGAAAATAGAAACAGCGATGTAGAAGAATATACAAGTTAAGGTTAAAAATCAGGGAGGGAGGATAATAGTACAGATTATTGTAAAGATTTCTTTATTGCCTAGATATTTAGTTTTCACCATTAGTTTCTGTTTAAGGTAGGAGTTATCTAAGTAAGTTTAGCAAGGAAATCAAGAATTTCTCTGTAGTATAGATGAAGTTTTTTTCAATTTTTTTTTTCTTTTTTTTGACAGGCAGAGTTAGAGAGAGAGAGAGAAAGGTCTTCCTTCCGTTGGTTCACCCCCCAAGTGGCCACTACAGCCAGTGATCTGAAGCCAGGAGCCAGGTGCTTCCTCCTGGTCTTCCATGCAGGTGCAGGGCCCAAGCACTTGGGCCATCCTCCACTGCCCTCCTGGGCCACAGCAGAGAGCTGGACTGGGAGAGGAGCAACTGGGACAGAATCCGGCACCCCAACTGGAACTAGAACCTGGGTGCCTCAGGCGGAGGATTAGCCTAGTGAATCGTGGTGCCGGCCTTTCAAATTTTCTTGATTGGTTCTGATTTATTTGAAAAGTATAGAGATAGACACTGGATCTTTAACTGCTGGTTCACTTCCCAAATGACTGCAACTGCCAGACCTGGGTCAGGCCAAAGCCAGGAGCTAGGAACCCAATCTGGGTCTATCACATGGGTGGCAGTGACCCACATACTTTAGCCATCATTACTGCCTTGCAGGATGCTCATTAGCAGGAAGCTGGAATTGGAAACAGAGCCTGGACTCTAATCCAAACACTGATGTGGGATGTGGGCATCCCACGTGACTTCTTAACTGGTTGCTACAGTAAACAGCCACCCCCAGATGTAATATTTTTTAAAAGATTTATTATTTATTTGCAAGGCAGAGTTAGAGAGAGGCAGTGGCAGAGAGAGAGGTCTTCCATCCACTAGTTGACTCTCCAAATGGTCACAGCAGCCACATCTGGGCTGTTCTGAAGCCAGAAGCTGGAGCTTCTTCAGGGTCTCCTACATGAGTGCAGGGGCCCAAGGGCTTGGGCCATCTTCTACTGCTTTCTTAGGCCATAGCAGAGAGCTGGATCAGAAGTGTAGCAGCTGGGATGTGAACTTGTACCCAAATGGGGTGCCAGCACTATAGACCGTGGCTTTACTGGCTAAGCCACAACACCACCTCCCAGATTTAACATTTTAAGAGCAATCCTTGAGGTCTGTGTTGTGGTATACCAAGTAAAGCTATATGTAACACTGCCGTCCCATATGAGGGCCTGTTTGTGTCCCAGCTGCTCCACTTTCGGTCAGCTCCCTGCTAATGGCCTGGGAAAGCAGTGGAAGATGGCCGGAGTGCTTGGGTCCCTGCAACCCATGTGGGAGACCTTGGTGAAGCTCCTGACTTTGGCTTGGCTCAGCCTTAGCCATTGTGGCCACTTGGGGAGTGAACCAGCAGATGAAAGATCTCTTATCTCTCCCTCCCTCTCTGTAACTCTGATTTTTGAATAAATACGTAAATCTGTTTTAAAAAAAGTAGCTTGACTATTAAAATGCTGATGTGTTAATGAATTGTATTCATGTATGAACATTAAATATAGTCTACTAAGGGCATTTTAGAGTCAATCCAGGAATAAAATAGAAGAATTATGGTACTTTGGAAAATATTATGCTAAGCAGGATTTTTTATTCTTTTTGGATTTACACATCCCAGGATCTGAACAAAGCTCTATAAATTTCTCCACAGAAATGTTTATGCAGAAAAGTTTGTGCAGAATTTAAGGTGGTTCATGGGTCCTGCTTCATTCACAAGTGATCCTTCATTTATGGACTTCTAAGTTAACAGCCCCTGGTTTAATGAGTTGAAAAATTGAACCAACAATGAATGAAAGTATTTAGTAATAGTCTATAGAAGAAAAACTACAGGGGAAAATTTTAAAGTTTCTTTCATTTATGAAAACTTCAATTATTGTGTCCTCAAATTTAAATGAACTATGAAAGTCTGTGTGTGTGTGTGTGTGTGTGTGTGTGTGAAAGAGAACTTACCAGTATACTATGAAATTATCCAAAGATTGAAGAGCATAGGTCCTTATCTTTCTTTAAGAACTCATGGAAGAGGGTGGGAATGGGGAGGGAAGAACCACTGTATTCGTAAAAGCTGTATATGGAATATAAAAGTTGTATTAATTAAATAAAAACCTTCTAAAAAATGAAAAGAACTCATGGAGGTTGCATTAATATATGTCAAAAGGATATATGAGCCTACAAATAGATAGCTTTATATATTTCTCTTTTAGCTTGCATTTTATGACTAGCATTTTATGTATACCATTGATCAAGGCAGTTTTTTTTTAAGTGAAAAGTTAGGTTGTTGACTTTCTTCTGATTGTAGTAGAAATGGTACTAAACAATTTACACTTAAATTAATAACAGAATAGATAAACCAAGATGAAAAGAAGAGTGATAGAGCAAGTACAGACTGGCTGTTTTATAGGAATAGAACGAGCAAATAAAAAGACCTTTAGAGAGTTTTTCATTAAAGTATTTAGGAAGTCTATTTTTAGATGATTTATTTGTTAAAATATGTTACAATCTTACCTGGGGCCCTTCTGTACCAGGAGGACCTGTTAGCTTGGTGTAAATTTTGATTCAGAAACATTTACGATTTACTGAAGTAATTTGAGATGGAGATGATTACGGCAGTATTAAGACTATCTTTGACAGTAGTTTTAAATTGCTTCTGGGTATCTTAAATTTGGATTATATATGTTCATCTGATTATCTATCTTAAACTTTTTTAGGTATTTCAGTGAAAATTACACCAGTGAAGCTCATCAGATTCTTTCCCGTTCAAATCATCCAAAATTAGGGTAAGCTGAATATATGAAAGAAACTGATGTCTTACATTCCACATGATTAGATAAATTTGAAGGTTTTTCTTAAAATGAGATTGCTATAATTAGAGCTTCATAAAGGACAATATATGATATAGTATTTTAAAGGAAGAATGTGATCATAGATTATAGACCAGTTTTGAATGTATTTCAATGTTTTTATTACAGCATATAAGGTGGAGATAAAGGCCTTTATAAAAGTTTTTGAGGAATAAAATTGAAAATTGGACTGGATAATAATTTTGAAATAAGAAAATAGAAAAAAATTAAAAATTTTAATATCAAATGCAAATTAAGGTCATGTTTTTAGTATTCTGATGATATCTAATCTTTGAAAAACTATAGCAGTATTAGATCATAAAACAAATACTCTGGTAATGGGGAAGAAATATCAGATTATCCAGTGTATTTTAGAAGGTATTGAGATTTAGTGTATGTGGTTCTTTAAGAATTTTTATTTTTATTTTTATTTTTTTTAACTTTTATTTAATGAATATAAATTTCCAAAGTACGGCTTATGGATTACAATGGCTTCCCCCCCATAACGTCCCTCCCACCCGCAACCCTCCCCTCTCCCACTCCCTCTCCCCTTCCATTCACATCAAGATTCATTTTCGATTCTCTTTATATACAGAAGATCAGTTTAGCATACATTAAGTAAAGATTTCAACAGTTTGCTCCCACACAGAAACATAAAGTGAAAAATAATAGATGATTTTTTAAATGATGATGAAATCAGATTAGACCTATTGTCATGTTTAATCCCAGTGAGAGTCAAGTTGGGAATTGATCATTTCTTCTTCTTTTTCTTTTTTTTTTTTTTTTACAGAAGATCAGTTTAGTATACATTAAGTAAAGATTTCAACAGTTTGCACCCCCATAGAAACACAAAGTGAAATACACTGTTTGAGTACTCGTTATAGCATTAAATCTCAATGTACAGCACATTAAGGACAGAGATCCTACATGAGGAGTAAGTGCACAGTGACTCCTGTTGTTGACTTAACAAATTGACACTCTTGTTTATGGTGTTAGTAATCACCCTAGGCTCTTGTCATGAGTTTCCAAGGCTATGGAAGCCCCTTGAGTTCTCCAACTCTTATCTTGTTTAGACAAGGTCATAGTCAAAGTGGAGGTTCTCTCCTCCCTTCAGAGAAAGGTACCTCCTTCTTTGAAGACCTGTTCTTTCCACTGGGATCTCACTCACAGAGATCTTTCATTTAGGTTTTTTTTTTTTTATTTTTTATTTTATTTTAGATATTATGTGAACAGAACTTTATTTCTTAGTTAATTTCCAGAAAATTAATGGCCTTTTGAAACAAAATATTTGGATCCATTCTGATTCAGTTTTCTTACTATGTAAAAAATATGAGATTGTCATAAATTTAATAACTGTTAGAAAATGAAAGTCACTTTTAACTGATTCCTTACATAATTTTAAATTTATTTTTTGAGCTATTTGGCTAGCTGGTATAACTGGTAATGTTTCTGACATAGGTATTCTTATGCAATAGTTGGAATCAACCTTACTGAGATGGCTTATAGCTTACTGAAGAGTGAAGCTTTGAAGTTTCATCTCTATAACTTTGTTCCTGGGATACCCACAATGGAGCACTTTCATCAGTTTTATTGTGAGTATGAAAATGAAAATCAGCTCTGAGAGAATTTTTAGACCATTAGGGAGATATGTTTTAATCTAATACTTCTATTAATTATTTATCACTTTGTTAGGATCTTTGAAAAGCAGGAAAATAATGGAATATGGGTCCCCAAGAGTGTATTATGTATCAGTTTTTAAATTTGCCAATTAAAAAAATTAATGTTTTGTTTTTCTTTAACTGCAGGCTATCTTGTCTATGAATTTGACAAGTTTTGGTTTGAGGAAGAACCAGAAAGCATTATGTATTTCAACCTGTATAGAGAGAAGTTTCATGAAAGGATTAAAGGACTCTTAATGGATTGTAATGTAGCACTTACTTTAAAAATGTAAATCATCCATAGTACCTTCTATTTCTACCACATTTTGCACACTAACAGAATTTATATGTTGTAATAGAAATTATCTGATCAGCTACACTCTTATATATAATTTCCTACAAAATACTTCAGAAATTCTATTTAAGAAAGCTAGTGGACAATCAGTGTATGTTTACAATTGTTTATACACTGTTCTCCAAAGGTACCTTATCTTTCCAAAGATCCCTTCTGTAGAATCATATGAACTACAGTTTGGAGCTTGGGACCTAGCCCGTTGGTATAAAAGTGTAAATCAGGTATTTATATTAAATTGGTTGATTAAAACATGTACAAATCAGTTTTTGTTTTTATATGTTGTGACTATCAAGTTAGTATTGTTTTTGAGGCTCTAAGAATTTTTGTCTTTAATTTGGAAATGACTGTTTTAATTTTTTTGTCTTATTTTTAGTTCTGCATTTATTAACAGCAAGAGTAGTTCCTTATGATTTTCTTTGCATCTCCAAAATTTGTCCTAATGTTGTTCCATTAGTAGCAATAAGAACATAAATATGTCCGAGTATGAAGAATCATGGCTTCCTTTTTGGTTTCTCTGATTATTGAGTACAACAGAGAATAAGCAATGACAGTATTGGTGACTAGGTTTTTTTGTTTTTAAATAACACTATCTAAAATATCACAGTCTTATTTTAAGGCTTAAAGCCATTTTCTCATCTTCAGTATTTGCTTTTTATCAATTGTAGAAAAGAACCTTAGTGCTTGGGGGAGGGGCTTTTATGAGTCTCCTCTACCTGTGTGTTTATGAAAAGAGATGAATTTGCCCAAAAAAACTCAATTGTATTCAAAAGACAGTTTCAATAAAGCTGTCTTTGAAACTTAAACAACTAAGTTTAAAGTTCTTAACAATCTCAGTTAACGTCATCAGTTTATTTGACTTACTGTTAGCTCTTGCTTCTGTTTGCTCTGACTGCATGGTGCTTTGAGATGATGATGTGAACTTGGTTAATAATCTGTGCAACACTAAGTAACTTGAAGACAGTGACTGTGCATTTTCTGTAGCTTTATTCTCCTAAAATCTCAGGAGGGCAGCAAATGCTGCCAAGGTGATACAGTGATGAAATTGTCCCAAGAGTGATTTCTTCTTGGTGTGTTTTAGACATTTATGCTCATAGCAAAACTAAGAGAGTTTAAGGCCAGGAAAGGTCAGCTGATTACTGAAGTCCTCCTTAAATCCTACAGCAACCAACCAGTTAAAGACAAAAATTCAGTCTAAAGCATGATATTTAGCACATTCTTTTCATGAGGTGTATACTACGTGTTTCTTAAGGACTGGCTTGTATGTGATACAGCAGGACCTGAGACTTTTCAAGCATTTGCTCGTGTTTGTTGACAAACCTCTCCCTTTAGAGTTGTCAAAGAGAAGAGTGGTACGAAATATCCAACTGGAAACTAACAGATGCAGGGCAAATTATTGTTTTCGCAATAAGATAAAATTAAATAAAGAGTGTTTTAGCATTTTTCAATATTACAGAAATTTAAAAATTGGTTTCTGGTAGGAGATTTCTCAACCTTAGAATTATCTTCATTTTAGTTTTTAAAAATGTTTCATGTTTTATCATCCAGCTAGGGTGTTAATGCTGTATAGCAAAATCTTTGCAAGAATCAAGTGTTAACCATTAATGTTCATTATATTTAGGTGTTAACTAGTATGTAGAAAGAAATTCTGTTAGTGTTTTCACTTTTGTGCTAAAATACTTATGTTTGTATTTTGGTCTTTCGACTGCTGGGATCTTGAACTTTTGTCAGTATACTTAGTAAAAAAAATGCTTGAAGTATGAAAAGGGAAAATTTTAGATAATTTTTTCCCTTTCTAGGGAGAAAATAATTAACGATATTAAGAAAATGTCATTACAAAGTTTGTTCAATGATGTGTTCCTTAAATCCACCTCTGTAGTTTGTAGATGTTGTTGCTTTCACATAAAATAATCAGTAACCATTTCAGATAGTTTTATAGGAAAACTGATGTAAAAACCACCAACAAATGCTGGGGTTTCGTAGTTCAGAAGCCAAGTTAAATGTCACCAACTGTAAACTAGAACGTTAACAGGAGCCTTCTGACTTACGTATAATGGTGACATATTAAAAGGAAAATATGTACTTATGTCTGCTTTCTTATTTTCCTTTACTTTGAACTATGTGTATGTTAGAATTTTTTGTAGTCTTAAAATCCATATTTAGAAGCTTGTTTCTATAATAAAATGCCAAAGTAGTGTTAGAATGTTATGGCATTGAAGTAGGAGGAAAAATGTTAGTTTTAGGTTCAAAAAAGTGAATCAACGTTGAAATGAATTTTGTGTGTGCCAGTGACAAGAGTAGTCTAAAAATACAGCAGTTAGGGCTTAAATATGTTCTGAAAGACAATCTTTAAAGAGATGGGAGAAATCGGGGTATTGATGAACTTGAACCAACTGGACTTTGTTCATAATTATATATGGTAACATAGTTTGATACTAAAATCAGTGTCTTACTGGCACCATTGGCAGTTTAGAAAGCAGACCATTTCCTTAAAAATTCCCATTTTGATTTTTGTTCTATTTTCAGAGCTACTTGGATTTGTATGTATTTTTCTGTGTGGAAATATATGTACTCTTCATTCTAATTCCAGTGTTCATAATTGTTCATGCACTATTTCTCCCCTTTGAGAACAGTCTGTGAAATAGAACTTCATTGAAGACCTGCCAGCAGGAAACACATTTTAGGAGTGTGAAAAGTGGGTGCTCATTGCTAGAACAGAGAAAAGTTACAGGGTCCTGTGGTACAACAGACAGGAGGTTTGGCTTGGTGGGCCAGGGTGTTTATTGTCATTCTTGAAATAATAATGAGGGACCAGCTATGTTCTCAAGACAGGTATTCTACCCTGCTTCTCTGTGAACAAGTGTGGGGAGGTTAAATTTCCACTGTTACATTTATGGGCCTCTCTGCACAAGAAATGTTTTAAATAAAGCTAAATGAGATTGTCAAAACCTGAGAGAAACCATGATGTAAGTTTCTTCTAAAATATCTTCTCTGTCTTCAGCTGTTGATGAGAAAAAATTTAAATATAATACAGGTGAAAACTAAATCTAAGTACTCTCTTAACTACTGTAGGATGATTCTGTGTTTCTGTTAAAGTATTCAAAAACCTGGAGGCAGAATTCCCTGAGGAAAAACTGTTGGAAACTTTAAAAATATGATTTTTGTCTATGGAGAAAGCAATTGACTTCTTCAGTAAAAGCAATAGCGTGAAATGTAATGTCATTTTGTTTGGAATGTTAGGTGAGCAAATAAAAAACATGTCGAAATTTCTGGCAGCCTTTCTGTTGATACTTCTGCTTTCTTTTATTATCCTACCTGTCCCTTAAGGCATCTGTGTTCATAAAACAGTATTTTTTTCTTACTTAATGTGCTAATCATTTTGCTGTAAGTAAGTTGAATATACAGCATTTTTAAAATTTTTGTGTTCTGTTCCACTGCCAATTACCTGTTTAAGGTAATGAGAGTTAATTGGTTATGAGGCTAAAAATTGGTGAGTTATGAAATAACCTACAGCTTCCACCCCTGCTCATGTTTACATAGGATAGAAATAATTCATGCTATGCTGTACTCTCTTTTTTATTAACTTCATAGTATATCTTGGATATATTTTCATATTTGTACATGGCTTTCTTATTCTGTTTTTTTTGCAGCTGCATAGAGTCTAGTATATACATATATGTGTCTCATTTTGAAATAAAAATACTATATATACTACTATTGATAGCTTTAAATGCATATATTAGAAAATGGAGCTAAAATTAAAGACAGGGCATCCATCTTGAGGAGTTGGAGGGAGATGAACAAAATGAACCTTAAGGGAATAGAGAAGGAAATATAAAAGATAAAAGCTTAAATGCACAGAACACAAAACAAAAAATGGGATAACCGTAATGAAAATGTTGTTTCTTTTTTTTTTTTTTTTTTGACAGGCAGAGTGGACAGTGAGAGAGACAGAGAGAAAGGTCTTCCTTTGCCATTGGTTCACCCTCCAATGGCCGCCGCGGCCGGCGCGCTGCGGCCGGCGCACCGCGCTGATCCGATGGCAGGAGCCAGGAGCCAGGTGCTTTTCCTGGTCTCCCATGGGGTGCAGGGCCCAAGCACCTGGGCCATCCTCCACTGCACTCCCTGGCCACAGCAGAGGGCTGGCCTGGAAGAGGGGCAACCGGAACAGAATCCGGCGCCCCTACCGGGACTAGGACCCGGTGTGCCGGCGCCGCTAGGCGGAGGATTAGCCTAGTGAGCCGCGGCGCCGGCCTGAAAATGTTGTTTCTTGAAAAGACTAATATTGATAATCTTTGGTGAGACTAATCAAGAATAAAGGGTAGGGGCAGATGTAGTGCAGCAAGTTAAGCTGTCACAGTGCTGGTTCTCATCAGAGCTGCTCCCCTTCCAAACCAGTTTTGTGCTAATACATCCTGGGACACAGAGAATAACAGCTGAAGTACATGGGCCACTTCCACCCACATAGGAGACCCAGATGAAGTTCCAGGCCCTGGCATAGCCCTCAATATTACAGACATTTAGGGAATGAAAAGCTCTCTCTTGCTCGCTTGCTCATGTTCCTCTCCTTTTCAAGTAGATGAAAGTAAACTTTAAAAAAAATAATAAAAGAGAAAGCAAATAATACTGTCTGTCAAGTAGGGATTGTGGAACATACCATACATCCAACATAAAACATTTTTTTAATTTAATACTAAGAATAATTGTCAAAAATTTGAAATTTAGATGAAATTCAAAAATTTCTGGAATATGACTTACCAAGGAGTAGGCTTTTGGTATAATGGTTAAGATACCACTTTGGATGCCCACATCCCATATCACAGTCCCTGGGTTTGAGTCTTGCTCATCACTAATTCCAGCTTCCTATTTTATTTTATTTTTTTATTTTTTTATTTTATTTTATTTTATTTTATTTTATTTTATTTTATTTTATTTTATTTTATGACAGAAGAGTGGACAGTGAGAGAGAGAGAAAGGTCTTCCTTTTTCTATTGGTTCACCCTCCAATGGCTGCTACGGCCGGTGCTGCAGCTGGCGCACCGTGCTGATCCGAAGCCAGGAGCCAGGTGTTTCTCCTGGTCTCCAATGCAGGTGCAGGGGCCCAAGAACTTGGGCTATCCTCCACTGCACTCCCAGGCCACAGCAGAGAGCTGGACAGGAAGAGGAGCAACTGGGACAGATTCTGGCGCCCCAACAGACAGGTGTGCTGCCTCCGCAGCGGAGGATTAGCCTATTGAGTGCCAGCCCGTTTCCTATTGATATGTACACTTGGAGGTGGCAGGTGATGGCTCAAATATTTGCATTCCTGCCACCCAGGTAGAAGACTCAGAGTTTCTGCCTCCTGGCTTCAGCCTGGTCCAACCTCAGCTTTTGTGAGCATTTGGAGAGTCAACTAGTTCAATCTATCTCTTCTCTCTCTGTCTCCCTGCCTATCAAATAATGTGTGTGTGTGTGTGTGTTTTCCCAGAAACATTTTATTTAAGGAATACAAACTTCATGCTTTTCATAAATAGAACTTTAAGAATATACTGATTCTTCCCCCCATACCCACCCTCTCAGCCACACCCCTATCTCCCTTCCCCCTCCCTTTCCTATTACCAGTCTTATTTTTTCCTAACATCTATTTTAAGTTAACTTTATACACATGCGATTAACTCTATACTAAGTAAAGAGTTCAATAAATTGTATGAAAAAAAAAAAACTGCTCATCAACAGTGGAGATAAGGGCTGTTCAAAGTCATTAATCTCGAAGTGTTAATTTCACTTCTATTGGTTACCTTTTAGGTACTCTATTAGTTATCACATATCAGAGAAACCATATGGTATTTGTCCTTTTGAGACTGGCTTTATTTCACTAAGTTTGATGTTTTCTGGTTTCATCCATTTTGTTGCAAACAACAGGATTTCATTTTTTCACCACTGTTTAGTATTCCATGGTGTATATATCCCATAGTTTCTTTATCCAGTTCAGTTGATGGGATTTGGGTTGATTATGTATCATAGCTATTGTGAATTGAGCTGCAATAAACATGGGGTAAAGATAACTCCTTCATATGCTGATTTCGTTTTCCCTGGATAAATTCCCAAGAGTGGGATGGCTGGGTCATATGGTAGGTGTATAGACAGATTTCTGAGGTATGTCCGTGCTGCCTGCCATAGTGGCTGTGCCAGTTTACATTTCCACCAACAGTGGTTTAGGGTACCTTTTCCCCACATCCTCACCAGCATTTATTGTTTGTTGATTTCTTTATGAAAGCCATTCTACGGGCAGGTGCTGTGCCATAGGGAGTAAAGCCTCCGCCTGCAGTGCCAGCATCCCATATGGGCGCCAGTTAGAGTCCTGACTACTCCACTTCCAATCCAGCTCTCTGCTATGGCCTGGGAAAGCAGTAGAAGATATCCCAAGTCCGTGGCCCCTGAACCCACATGAGAGACCCAGAAGCAGCTCCTGGCTTTGGATCGCCCCAGCTCTGGCCATTGCAGCCAATTGGGGAGTGAACCAGTGGATGGAAGACCTCTCTCTCTCTCTCTCTCAGCCTCTCCTTCTTTGTGTAACTCTGACCTTCAAATAAATAAATCTTTAAAAAAGAAAAAGTCATTCTAACAGGAGTGAGGTGAAACCTTATTGTGCTTTTGATTTGCATTTCTCTGATGGCTAGTGATCCTGAGTTTTTTTCATGTGTCTGTTGGCCATTTGAATTTTCTCTTTTGAGAAAGCCTATATAAGGCCTTTTCCCATTTCTTGACTGGGTTGTTTGTTTTATTGTTGAGTTTCTTGACCTTTTTATGTATACTGGTTATTAATCTTCTATCAATTGCATAGTTTATAGATAATTTCACCCTTTCTCTCAATTGCCTCTTCACTTTCCTGAGTGTTTCTTTTGCAGTGCAGAAACTTCTCAGTTTGATGTAATTCTGTCAATTTTGGCTTTGATTGCCTGTGCCTCTGGTTGTGTTTTTTTTGTTTTTTGGTTTTTTTGTTTGTTTGTTTGTTTGTTTTGTTTTTTGTTTTTTTTTTTTTTTTTTTTTTGACAGGCAGAATGGACAGTGAGAGAGAGAGAGAGAGAGAAAGGTCTTCCTTTTGACGTTGGTTCACCCTCCAATGGCCGCCACGGCCCTGGCACGCTGCAGCCGGCGCACCACGCTGATCCGATGGCAGGAGCCAGGTACTTATCCTGGTCTCCCATGGGGTTCAGGGCCCAAGTACTTGGGCCATCCTCCACTGCACTCCTTGGCCACAGCAGAGAGCTGGCCTGGAAGAGGGATAACCGGGACACAATCCGGCGCTCCGACTGGAACTAGAACCCGGTATGTCGGCGCTGCGAGGCGGAGGATTAGCCTAGTGAGCCATGGTGCCGGTGACTCTGGGGTCTTTTACAAGAAGTCTTTGCCCATGCCAATGTCTTGCAGAGTTTCCCCGGTGTTCTCTAATAATTTGATGATATAGATCATAGTTTTAGTCCTTTAATCCATTTTGAGTGGATTTTTGTGTAAGGCATAAGGTAGGGTCTTGCTTTGTACTTCCACATGTGGAGATCCAGTTTTCCCAGCACCATTTGTTGAAAAGACTGTCCTTGCTCCGGGGATGGATTTTAGGTCCTTTGTCAAAGGTAAGTTGGATGTAGATGCATGAATTGATTCCTGGCTTTTTTGTTCTGTTCCATTGATCTGTCCATTTGTTTTTTTTTTTTCTTTTTTTTTTAACTTTTATTTAATGAATATAAATTTCCAAAGTACGATTTATGGATTACAATGGCTTCCCCCCCATACCGTCCCTCCCACCCACTACCCTCCCCTTTCCCATTCCCTCTCCCCTTCCATTCACATCAAGATTCATTTTCGATTATCTTAATATACAGAAGATCAGCTTAGTATACATTAAGTAAGGATTTCAACAGTTTGCTCTCACACAGAAACATAAAGTGAAAAATAATAGATGATTTTTTTTAAGTGATGATGAAATCAGATCAGACCTATTGTCATGTTTAATCCCAGTGAGAGTCAAGTTGGGAGTTGATAATTTTTTTTTTTTTTTACAGAGGATCAGTTTAGTATACATTAAGTAAAGATTTCAACAGTTTGCACCCCCATGAAAACACAAAGTGAAATATATTGTTTGAGTACTCGTTATAGCATTAAATCTCAATACACAGCACATTAAGGACAGAGATCCTACATGAGGAGTAAGTGCACAGTGACTCCTGTTGTTGACTTTACCAATTGACACTCCTGTCTATGGCATCAGTAGTCTCCCTATGCTCCGGTCATGA